GTACTGGTTTAGCAAATCTACACTGGCTTAAAACAGGCAACATAGTACAATCAAATGGAAATAAAGTAGATAAATATTTAGTCGATAATAATTTAGAATAATCTACACCAGCTATCAATGCCTAAACATCTGAACACAAATTGTTTCCTTACTTTAGCTGAAGAACAATAACGAATAACTTATTTCATTCCCTGCTTAAATGTGGTAATGTGTATGTGCGCGTGCGTGCGTGACAATTATTTTATTTCCTGATTGTTTACAAATGAAACATTCTTACTTTGGGAAGACCACTGTCAAGAAGGATATGTATTGTGGTTGACTTGTTAAAAAGAACGAAAGAATTAAAAAATTATTATTATGCAAAGCAAACTAGATCCACAAAATAGAAAACATAATAAATTAATTAAAAATGGAAATTAGAAATGCATACAGTTATAAACGCACCGCCTTGCGAGACTTCTCTTTAAACTGTATCATTCTGTTCAACCAGCCGATTGGTGTTATGGAACTTAGCAACCACATCAATTCTACATGTGCACGGACATGAGACTGGACAAAAACTGAAGCCTGTTTGCATAATTGAATGTCTTTTATCCTCAGTGAACAAAGGCTCCAACATTTCCACCATAAATATTATTTCTTAAAAAGATCTGAGCGAAATTTGTAAAGAACCTTTGAAGGATCCACCCCACATGCCAAGTAAATAGCTGCAGTTGACTTTGTATCCTTAGATAGTTGTTGTCTGTCGTGCGGTAATGTAATCTGTGTGAGAAAATTTGAAGGGGTGAGAAATGTGACATTATTATTCAATGTCTAAATAAAACATGGAAGTTGGCTTTAATAAGTACAATGAAGTGCAAAAAGTTAGTCCTAAAATTCCTGTCAAGAAACCAATGCAATTACCCACCAGAGTGTGTTTTAAGGTGTAACTGTGAAGTGTGGGCCATCCAAATCTTTCTAAGACAGTGTTGCATAGTTTGTGTGCATGTGATTTCCAATGACCGTGTTTTATATGTGGTACATCTTTGACCAACAAGTCTAGCTACTACTTATATACTGAACAAATTTTATTTGTGAGAAATTTGGATGAAATTTCAACTAAAAACGGAAATGGAAATCTAAACTAGCACAGAGGTGGCTTAAACTACTCTAGATCTATAAAACCTCGTCAATAAACAAATATGTGAATTTGTTTGGCCTGCTCAGTCTAATTGACAAGAAGCCTAAAACTAATTAACCTAGTTATTAAGCCAGTCTACATTTGTCCAAGAAATAGTGAACGGCCCCATAGCAAGTCCACGCTTGCAGAAGGAAAATCATGAAATTCAAGATCATATAATTTTCACATTACAGTGCATAGCAAAAGATCTAGTTATATGACCTCGTCAAACAGAAAAGAGAACGGAAAAATCATCGCCAGGAGTCATATGAGTCTAGTTATTAGCAGAAGAAATATGGACATACCGCATGCAGATCCACAATGAAGTAAAGAGTATCATACGCATCCTGCAACAAATTGAAATCAGTGTTAATTCTTAATTAAAAAGTCTTGAATATATTTGTGAATAAAAAAAACACTTAGTATTGGACTGGACTCAACTCAATTAACTCAGATACATTATATAAGCAAACCATACTCATTGGTCTGAGTAACAATATCCTACCCTAATAATAGAAGGATTTAACAAAGAGAAATGCATGTAATTCATACCGAAAGTGTGCTTAATTGACAATTCATGAAGGTGGCTTAAATTGAGTGTTTAATCGCAATAAACCTGAAGAGCAACCCAATTCTTGATGGCGCCAAAATAATTTCCAAGGTGAATTGAGCCGGTAGGTTGAACTCCTGAGGCAACTCGTTTCCTGTGGAAAAAGAAGTTAGTTAGTTAGTTGCATAAACGTGAAATTGAAATGAGAATTGAATTGAATGTGAATTACTTGATGGAGGTAGAAGTAGGTGTTGGAGTTTCGGAAGAGGTAGAGGATAGAGTGGTGCAGCATCGAATGGTGCTTCTGAGGCGAGAACGAAGGAGCGTTGAAGCTGCACACGACCTGTTTGATGAAATGAAAATGAAAAGAGGGGATAAGAAAGAGAGTGAATGAGTAAGTGAATACCGTACAGTGAAGGAATGAAGCATGACGGAAGCGCGTACTGAGAAAGAACACCCATCTTGTCTTCTCTTCTGCGCACTGCACCTTTGAATGTTGATTGTGTTCGCTTTCGATATATGTCAAAAATGAGATGAGATAAACGGTTGTGGTCGAATTGAAAAAGGATCCAGATTCACTGCTTTGAGGCGGAAAAGGTATTTGCTTTCAAACAACCTTGTCCATTGATTAATCGTGTGCTCCAAAGTAAGCCACGTGTCAGTCTTTCTTTTTTTCCCTCAAATCCTGTGTTTCCTTTCGGACAAAGTTTGATTTTGTTATAATAGTACAATATTTGTTTAAAATAAAATGTCTTATTAAATCAAAACAATTATTTATATAATTTAAGATTAAATAGTGTTTTTATCCCTTTAAGTTAGTCATTTTTTTATTTTTGTTTCTGAATTTTTTTTTTCAAGTTCCTATATGTTCATTTCTTTTTTGTGTTAGTTCTTGTTGTGAGTGAACTGTTAAAAAAATGTTTAGGTGGTAGACGATGATGATTTGGCTTATGTTTTAGTATTTGTTTTATTTTTTCTTTAACACACGTGGATATAATGTTTTCCCACCCAAATTATGTCATTAAAACCCATTTTCTCTTTTCTATTTAGTCCATGTAAATTAGGGTTTCACATTTAGAAAGCATTTCAGCTCAGGAAAGGTGAAGGCGACTAGTATGAGAGCTTGTCTCGACGAGGTGATTGAGGGTGACGAAACTACAATTGTGATTGTGCGACCTAATCGAATCTTCCAAGTATGACATTTACGGTGAACATTCATTATGGGGGAAAGTTTGTTAAGGATAGTGTCGTGTACTACTTAGGTGGGAATAAAAATGTAATAGACATTGACCCTGATAGGTGGAGCTTCTTTGAAGCAACTGGTATTATGAAAGAAATTTGCAACCTTTAGTCCACTGATTATTGGCTATGGTGGTATAACATTATATCGGGTAAGCATACAAGGATAGTTGGTGATATTGATACTGCTGAGGTTTATGAAAAAGTTGTTGAAACTAGTTGTAGTGCGGATTTATTTGTTGAGCATAGAGTAGTTGTAGTTGATAATGTCTTTAATGATGTTGATAATGTTGATAATGGTAATGCTGATAATGTTAATGATATTGAAGTTGATAATGTTATTGAGGATGGTGTTCATAATAATGTTGGAAATGGTATTGTTGATAATGTTGATGATATTGAAGATGATAATGTTATTGAGGATGATGTTCATGATAATGTTGGAAATGTCAATGTTGATGAAGTTCATGATAATGCTGGCAATCTAAATGTTGATGAATCTGCCAAGGTTGATGAGAATCTTGATGGTGTTGAAGGAGATGATATTGATGATAGTGATTATAATGGTTTATCATTTAAGGACAGTGAGGATGAAAGGGTCCTTGGCATGGATGATGGATTTGATGTTACAGATAAACCACCTATAAGGGTTAAGCAGATAGCAAGGAAACACATGAATACTCCAACAAAGATAAGAAATGATGATGTCACTAGGGGTTCATCGAGTGGGGTTAGTGCTGGTAATGAAGGGCTTTAAACTAATTATTTAAGTGATGATCTAAGCAGTAGTGATCCTGATGCATCAGATGAAGAGAAAGGACCAAAATATCCTAGGTTTAAGATTGAGGAGTTAGACAAGGACTACGAGTTCAAAGTTGGTTTGGAGTTTGTATCTTTGCATGAATTTAAGGAGGCAATAACCGAATGGTTGGTGTTAAATGGAAGAAAGATAAAGTATGCAAAAAAATGGCAAGGTTAGAATGAGAGTAGTTTACAAGGGCAATTGTGGATTTTTGGCTCTTGTTAGTAAAGTGAGGAATAAGCACACATATAGAATGAAGAAATGGTTTGGTGCTCACACGTGTGGTATGGTTTTGAATAACACCACTGCTAACTCCAAGTGGATTGCGAAGACTGTGGCGGCTAGGATGGCTTCATCTGATGGAATCAAGCTTCGTGATATTGTCTCTGAGATTAAGAGTACTTACTCTGTAGGTATATCTATGAACAGGGCATGGAAGGCTAAGCAAATTGCAAAAGTTTTGGTTGAAGGTGATGCAACAAAGTAATATACACTATTGTGGAGGTATGTTGTAGAATTAAGGAGGGTCAATGCAGGGAACACCTGCAAAATTAATCTCACCAGAGTTGCTCCAACAATTCAACCCAAATTTGGCTGCTTTTATTTTTGCTTTGATGGAGTAAAGAAGGGATTCACCACTGCTTGCAGGCCATTCATTGGTGTTGATGGATGTCACCTCAAGACAAAATATGGAGGTGCCTTGCTTGTTGTTGTTGGAAGGGACCCTAACGGCCAATATTACCCTTTGGCTTTTGGTGTATGTGACACTGAGACAAAGGAGTCATGGAGGTGGTTCCTGACCTTGCTTTTGGAAGACATTGGACAAGACAAAAGATGGGTATTCATATCAAACCAGCAAAAGGTATTTTTCATATCTATATATTTTTTTAAATTCATCCCTAAGTTATTTAATTGTATTTTGATTTGGTCCCTGAATATGTCAATTTGTTTTGAAGTATGTCTCTGGATATTATTGTTTGTTTTTTTAATTCATCCCTAAGTTATGTAATTGTGGATTTCATCTGTGTATTATTTATGTTTGCTTGAAATAGGTCCTTTATTTTATTGTTTGTTTTGATTTGAAGGACTTAATTCTTGTATTTAAGGAGATGTTTAAGAGGGTGGAGCATAGGTTTTGTCTTAGGCATTTATATGCCAATTTCAAAAAGAAGTTTGGTGGTAACACATAGATCAGAGATCTGATGGTGGCTACTGTAAATGCCACATATATACAAGCATGGAAAGTAAAGATGAAAGAGTTGAAGGTGTTTAATCCCAAGGCTTGGGAGTGGTTGATCAAAATACCTACAAAATCATTATGTAAGCATGCTTTTTCATTGTATCCCAAATGTGATGTGCTAATGAATAATGTCTCTGAAGCTAATAGCACAATACTAGTGGATATGGATAAACCAACCTTAACCATATGTGAATGGATAAGAAACTACCTTATGAATAGAAATTCTAAATTGTGAGAAAAAGTTGATGAGTGGGAACTTAGGATAATGTCAAGACCTAGAATTGAGTTAGATAAAGAGGTAGAAAATGTTGGTAATTGGATTCCAAATTGGTCTGGTGATACTACTTAGCAAGTTGAACATATCCATAGCAAACATAGCTTCATAGTTGACACTTCTAAAATAACTTGTACCTGTAACTTTTGGGAATTGGTAGGCATACCATGTAGACATGTAGTTGTTGCCTTAGGCTTTAGGAACCAACACCCTGAAGACTATGTATATGACTGTCATTCTAAAGAAACATATGTGGCATGCTATGATTTTAATATTAGCACAATTAATGGCCAAGACATGTGCCTTGAGGTTAATAGTAAGGAGATGGTTGCCTCCATCATACAAAAGAGGCACTGGTAGGCCAAAGAAATTAAGGAGGCGGGAACATGATGAGGACCCTAACAAGGTAAGAACACAGACATATTATTGTTGTACCAACTGTGGTGTACATGGCCACAATGCAAGGAGTTGTTCAGTTCTGGTGCCTGACCCTGAAGCTCAGAAAAGAAAGGTATTAACTTAACTCAATTATGTATTCTTACTAAGTGTTTGTGAGTGATATTGATTGAATCACTTTGTGTGCATAAAAAACCAAAGAAAAATGCTACACAAACAACACAGCCTGGATCTGTAGCAAAACAAACAACACATACTGAAAATGATCTACTAAACAACAATAACCTCAACATGAACCTCCAACTGAAGAACAACCAAAAACACAATGTGATGTGGACTAAGAGTTTGAGATGCCTACAACAGATCTTTGTGCAGCTTTCGAAAGGACACAACCTCAGCCCAATGTCAATGATCTCACTTCCCAAATCCCAGCTCCAACTCAAGTTATTAGTGACCATGCTCCAACTATTGAGATTGCATCCGTAATGGCTTCACAAGAGGTTGGTGACTCACAACCAAACTACATTCTCTATGCACCTGTTCAAGAGGTTGAGCCTACACCTAATGAACATGTTCATGCACCTCCTCATAAGGAACCTGTTTTTGCGCCTCCTAAACCAGTTGTGTCTGCTACTGACTAACTGACTTAATGTGTATGTTCTAAGCTTTATTGATATTGGCCTAATTGTATATGTTTCTATTATGTCTTTGTAGGTAAAACAACCCAAACAAAAGTGTCGCAACTGCGAAAAATACCCGACGAAAAAAGCAGAAGAGTCGCAACCGAACGTTATTTATCCCAAATAGAGGGAAAGGAAACGACCAAAGAAAACCTAAAGAACGGGAAAAGACAAGGTCATCACAACCAAATCTTGGGTTCGGGAGTCAGTTACGCAAGGGGAAGGTATTAGCACCCCTCACGTCTGTTGTACTCAACGAGATCTACGCTTGTTGTCTAATCAAATAGTGTGTTTATCTATAAGATACTGCTAAATAGAAATGAGAACAAAAGAAAAAGAAAAAAGAAAGAGACTCGACAGGACATTGCCACCATATGCCTACATATTCCCTCGTGCAATGGGAAAGTCAGAGTCAACGTAGTTCGGAAAACCACGGGGGATGAGGGAAGGTTGCTCGCCAAGACATCATCGTCTTGTGCCTACGTATCCTCATCTGATATGAGAAATTAGAGCAAACGTAGTTCGGGTAAACGAAACCACAAGTTAGTTAAGTGTTTTTTATGAGCAACGTTAAGTTTCTATTCCAGTAGTTAGGGTCGATGCCTGTTTGCGGTAGAACGGAAAAGTAACGTACTCTTTTCTAAAAATGAGTTTTAAACACGAATCCCGAAGGATAAAAAGGTTTGAATTTTGTTTGTGAGTTTTAGTGAAGGGATTTAAATTTTCTTTGTGATTCACTTGCATTAAAGATTATGACATAGGAACGAATGTGTCATATATCGCCCCTAGACAGGACGTACACTAGACACTCTAGACAAGCGATAGGAGACCCCCCACTCATCATTTCCTATGTGCTTAAGGCTCGTAGCGTACAACGTTCATTGTATTTATTAGATGAGTTAAAAAGGTGTTTTGAGATGTAAAGAGAGACGCACGAAAGGTCTAAGGGAAACTCGACCCTAACGTTGTCATGCAAAGTGGTCATAAAGTTGGGATGCGAAAGGAGATTCTATCCTAATGTTAGCATGCAAAAAATGGACCTAAGGTTGAGGTTAAAAGGGACTAGCCTACTTGTTATCATGCTTGAATTAAACTCATAGTGTCTTTTTCACTCCAAATTTAATTGGAAATTAAATTGGAACAAGAGTCCTAAGGGGAAATGCAAAGGAAAAGGAAAAACAAGAAAACAAGGCTAAAACAGCAGCTATAACAGCGCCTCCTGAACAAAGCAACAATAAAATCCAGCACACAAGCAAGATAGTATATAACAGTACATGTTTCAGCACAAAAATAGGTGTGAAAAGGCAGACAACAAGCAAGTAAAGCAAAGACAACATGCAAGTTCAAAACAATGGACAACTGTGGAAAGTAAGGCAATAAGCATGTAAGAATGCAATTAATCATGAACAAACACCAATCATGGATAGATATCATGCAAGTATGAACATGCTTCACCAATCAAACATACTCAATCAACAGTGCATCATACAATGTGATCATTCATCAAGCAAGCAGCATTAACATGTTATGCGTTCAAACAGAAACCAAAAGTCACGCGTCGAAGAATCAAGATAGAACATTCAAGAATGATGAAATATGTCAAAAAAAAAATCCACATAAATGTATCACATCAATCCAAGAAGTTTACATATGCAAAGGAGCCCAAACAAGCAAGAAAAATGCAAAAACACATCATTCTGCTCAGTGGTAACCAGTTACTCTATATCAGGTAACCGGTTACCCTATTGCAAAAACAGCCTAGACTTGAAATCTGTACTGAGTAATCGGTTACCCTATATAAGGTAACCGATTACCACTAAACCAGAACCTGGAAAACAACTTTTAAAATCAGTTTTCAGCATCCAACAACTTTTCCAATCACTCATATGAACATGTTATCAGTTAAGCACGAAATTAACATCAAATATCAATGATCAAACAACATGTAAACATAATCAAACACTGAAATCACAAATCATCAAGATCCAAATCAACAAAATGGATCAAAAAGCAGCAAAAGTCATGGATCTACATCGTGATTATTCAAATAAGCTCAAAACTGAAGTAGATTTAGAATTGCCAACCTTCAAAACTGAGATTTGCTTTGGTGAATGTTGATTCACATTAAATTAGTAGATCCAAGCAAGAAACCCAGAGAATATTCAAGATCCATATGCTTCCTTATGGTATAAGTGAAAAACAAGCAAGATCGAGCAAGATCGACTCGAAAAACACTTCCAATCTAGCTTCCAAATTCATATCCAAATCCAAACGAATATTGAATGATGAATTGAAGATAATGGAGATGAATGATGGAGGTTTAACTCTAGAATTCAAAGACTCTAATGAAGAATCAATGAACTCAAGTGAAAGAGCTTTAATGGAGGTTTTGGGAGTGAAAAAGTTGAGAGAAAAATGAGAGCAAATTCTCAAGAATGAGTGTGAAATCTGAAAATAAACGTTATTGTGTGAGGTTTGGAGCAAATTAACTTAAATAAGCTCTAGGTTTGGAATCAAAATGTGGTTTGGAATGTGGATTAACATTTCGAATGGAAATTAGGAGCGGAATTAGGAATGGAATGTTTGAAATTTGGAGAGAAATGGTGAAAATTGAAACAATTCTAGATCCTTCCAATGATGATCAAGTGAAATCAATGGTTGAGAATGATTGGAAATTGCACATACTGAAAATTTGAATTTCTTGGCAAATTGCGCTTGAAGTAACCGGTTACCCTATCCAAAAAATGCCAATTTTGGCGCCAAATGGAGGGAAACTTGTGTAATCACCTGTTGTCACCTGTTTTGAACTCTGTTAAGCCTATAAAACTTGCCCTTGGAGGAGAGTTTAAACATATTTTGTAAGTTTTAGGAAATCAGTTAAAGGGTCAGAAAAGGAGTCAAGAGTGTTTTTACGAGAGGGAGATTCCCATATGTTTGAATTAGCCTATGTACATTGAATGTTGAAAAAACTGAAAGAAGAATGTCAAAGTTGTTATCCCCTATCATATTACACCAATATTCAAAGACTTTTACATAAGTCCATCTCATCGGATACAGTTGCGAGAGGTTGATTCCCGTATGATTGAGGACCCCTACTTAGAAATAGTTGTAAGGAAGCCGGAGCTATATTCGAGAGAACAAACATCAGTGGAGAGGAATAACACACCCCTTATATTTGTTGTACAACCTCTTGTGTATCATCTTCATGGGAGATCATCCCCGCTTTGAAAAAGGACTCGCATAAGTAAAATTACTATCTAAACCTCTTTTACTGATGAAGACAAAAATTTAATCTAACATCTCCTAGCCCACCCATAATGGACGATATTCACTTTTGGATTCCCTACCATCATGCTAATTATTATAATTCATTACTGCTTCATTATCAATAGCTGAAAAAGAATGGTTGTAATAATGAGCACACTTTTGAGACTTTTTCCACCACATAAATTCAATATCAATTGTATCACAACCAAAAGCACAACAACACCCTAATATTGGTTTAGGCCTCCCTTCTCGCTTAAAGTCATTTATGAGCTCTGGATTGGTTAAAGGTTACTATGAAATCGATAAAATAATTAAAACTAGTTTAGAATAAATTATTCAGAGTTCAATCACACCAAGAAATTTGATGTGTGGGACAAAGAACAATGACAACCAAGCAAATGACCTTCAATAATACTAACTTTTAATGCAATAAGAAAATGAATTAACTTGAAAGAAGAAGAAAACAAAAGGTGAGAAACACAAAATGTTTGTCTACCCAGTTTAATAAAATGATCTACGTCTGGGGGATATAGCAGCTCTCCAATTCACTATACTTCAAAAGTAGTTACAAGATATTAGAAATGAGTTACAAGAAAATAGTCTTACAGGTTCCTAGGAACAAACCCTATTTTCTACCCAAATGTTTCTCAATCTCTCTAACACTCAATATACTAATCACAAAAACCCAAGATGTTTATAAGTATTATCTAATCCTTCTAGATAACTCTAAGGGTTTCCCTAAACCTTGAACCCTTATTTCTCCCTTTAACTCTAAATATCTCAAGTTTATCATAAATACAATAACATAAGAGATGCATATTTATAATTTCTAAAACCCAACAGATCCAAAACAAAGCCTAAAACATAACCAATCAACAAATGGATCCGTGGACAAGCTAGAAAATATGTCAGTATTGAAATATGTAATTTTTCCTTCTTTTTTCTCACTCGAGCCTTTTAGGCATAATACAACAATCTCCACCTTGACTTGAAATCAACGGTGATGTCAATTTAACC